CTCATTCAAATTAGATTTCAACCACTTAGCTATAGGAGCGGGGTGATGACACCATTAACCAGTGTTAGAAGGGGTCGTCCAAGCATTCACTATGCTTAACCAAATATGCTTATTCATTGATTTTTAGAAAAAGCTTTCATTCTAACTTTCCAATACTTGCAGTTATTGCCATCAAAATATGGCGAGACAGATAATAAATTACTTATCTAGAAAAAATGAGGCCAAGAATCGAATTTAGACTCTGATACTACTTGAAAAGCTTTGATACCACTTGAAAGTTTAGATTTAGCCAATTTATTTTGACCCGGTGTGTGAAATTATACAACTAAAAGCAACAAGTCACTTTTTAATTATTTCTAGATGGTTAATCAATCACGTCAGATTATCATATGGTTTGAATGCCATATTCAATAACATGAAAGTAATAAATAACATAAAATATGTTGACGGAGAAAATGTAAAAACTTCGGGATCAAGCCAATAACTTCACAATAGACAATATGAACTTACATTATGATACAGCCTAGAAAGTCAACTAAACTCGCTGATTTAATTTCTACAATCTCTAAGACCTACTGGAACGTGCTTTACTCACACATGTTCCCGATCATCAAAAATTGCCTACCTTTTGTGAAGTGCCAATAATACCTTTTTCTTGTACTCTTCCTGTGGTTCAGGTCCAACCCGCCTCAATCTTCAGCACCCTCTAAAAGTTACTGAGAAAGTAAATTCCTGTTGTGTATAGGACGTAAGTGTTTTGGATTACATAAATTTGATATTTTCCTAAAGTTGTGGTTGAATGATCTCAAGAATCAAATGATTAATCTCAATATTTGAATGTGTTCTTAGATCTTGGAATGACGTTATGAAGAAGTAATATATTCAACAACCACTCACAAAACGTGTTAGGGATTTGGTGTTTAAAGTAGGAGGTAATTAGGTAGCATGGGTCGAATAAAACTCTCAAAAAATGCGAACTATGATTTTACGCATAACACAGTTGTTCGAGCACCAGGCTAGCGACAAGCGAGAGTTGGGCGACAATGTTTTTGTTTTTTTTTTGCTCAAGCATCAAATAGGCGATAGGCTAGCGTAAATTTGACGACTCTTTTCTCCTTATTCCAAACTCGAACGCTAAGATACCTAGTTCATATATGGAACATTCCAATTGACTCATTGACTTTTACAATTTTTTATATTAGTCATTTTGTCTAAAAAATTGTCAATACAATTAAATTCTAACACTCAATAAGGGCGAGAACAAGTTGAGTCAAGTCGACCGAACCGACTTTGTTCGTTCCATAAAAGTTAGGCTTGTCGAGTTAGGCTAGCTCATCAACCCTTTTTTAAAGGAGAATGGAGAAAATTGACTATTTATTTTTCTTCAAAATTTTAAAAACTTTTAAATACGATCGTTTGAACAAAAAAATAAAAGTATACATTTGATTCCAATCTTTATAAATATGAAATATCCATTTGACAATAAAAGAAGACATTCATTTGGAAATATACAATAAGGATAACATTAGTTGTACATTAAGGTATCCATACACTCACATGGGATGGGGCATGCTCGTATAAAATGTGAGTCCCATGTGAGTGTGAGACACCTTAGTGTACAAAAAATTATGTACACCAAGCAAAGTCCATACAATAATTAATTAAAGAGGAAATTACAAAATTCCAGATGTTCAAAAAGTAGAATTCAAAAATCAGGGGCCAAGTTTTATTATTCACAATTTAGGTATTAATAAATAAATAAACCGATTTCAAACCCTAATTTTAATCACATTTCCCGTCTCTCTCTTCTCTCTCTAAATACACAGTGACAACAGTCGATTTCTCTTCGACATTTTTGTGCAATGCAGTGGCGCCGACTGGCCTCCATTTCTCTCCTGCATTTTTGTTGAGTGCAAACAACTTTGTCGAGTGCGAATAGCTTTAGCGCTGTCAAGCTGCTTGCACTCGACATTGCAGATGATGACACTGTAGTGGTTTTAGATCTCATGCTCCAGCGGTGGGACAATGTGACGGTAGGTGTTGCAGTCGCAACTTAAGTGTATTATGGCGGATTTGGTTTAGTTTTGAATGTGGCAGATCTAGTGGCGACTATTGTGGTTGACAGGTGGAGATGGAGGTAAAATAAGAGTTGGAAGTTGCTTGGAAGTGCAGCATCTGGATTTGGTGGCGGCGAAGGGGTGGATTTGGTGGCGACGACGGGGGTGGAGATGGTGAGGCGGTGCTATTTGCGATATTTGGAATGATAGGGTTGGCCATGAATGGATGTTGGTTGAAATGGTAGTTGTGGTGGTAACGGAGATGGTGAAGTGGTGACAACGTTGTAGTGATGGCTTTTTGGGGTGTTGGCTTTGTATCTGTTTTGTTGGTGGTGAGGTGGTATTAGTTTTGGCGACGGGAGTTTTGACGGCGATGCAACTGGTGGTGGTGTTGGTGGTGGTAGTCAAAAGTGTTTTGATTTTTTTTATCAAGAAATTGGCGTATGTAACTAACAATTTAGTTATCTGTGACCAACTGTTTAAGTGTGACCTTAAAATTTGACAACCTGTGACCAATTAATTTGACCTCGAAATAATCCGTGACTTCGAAATAATTTGTGATCTAAAAAATTTTTTAATTTGTGATTTCAAAATAATTTGTGACAAATTAATTTGATGATATATTTGTGACTAAAAAATAAATTTGTGACATATAATTATGAATCTGTGACAATTAATCGAGTAACCGTGAATTTCTTATATTTAATTAATAAATATTTTCAATTAATTATATAGATACTTGAATTTTGAATTTTTAAACTATGTACCTGATCTATGAATTGGTGTAAACAATACACCTAAATTATGAATTTGTCCCTTAATTAAACATATTATAGGCAGGCCTCACGAGCCAGCTCGAGAAACTCACTAGCATTTGATGGCAAGTCCCGACTCATCTCGTCTCGTGACGTTACAAATAAATCTCGGCTCGCGGTCCCATCAAAATGAGATGTGGGTTACTCCTAAGCCGAACCAAGAGGCTTGCAAGCAGCCCGGTTCAATTGCCACCCTTATCCTTCCCAATCCTACACTTTCTTTGCTTCCATTGGATTATTCTTTGCATTAACAATTACCATCTCACCCCATCAGATCTAAAGAAGTGGCAAGTGAAAAATTGCTGTGACAACATTCTCGATAAATACTTATTTTCATCCTTGTTCTTTTGTGATTGGAAAAAAACTAATAAACATTGAGAGAAATTGAAGGGAAATCTCTAATAAGTAGTTTGGCCAATACTAAAAGTTGATAAGATCAAATAGCCTAACACAAAACTAATTTAAAAACGCAAAATGGTATGTATTCAATGTACTTTCACCAACATATCTCTTTGATGACTAGATCAAATCATGATACTTATTTCACGTTTAACAAAGAAAAACAAGGGCACATTGATACACATGTTTATTTATGTCGCACAACTAACTTTAGACCACTAGATTCATTATGTCATTTTATTTATCTAAATTTGATAATAATTTTTTATTGGACGTTAATTTACTATGATCCAATCAAATTAAAGATTTCTTATGGCCAGAATTTTATTCCAATTTGTGATTCTATAAATCCCTTATATAAAATTTGGTCTAATAATATATTTTATTAGTACTAATGATAATAAAAATTATCGATTAATTAAAGAAAGACAATAGAGTTATCCAATTTGTCAAACAATATTAACAAAATAAAGGTACAGATTTAAGTTAGACGCAGCCAAATGCAGACGAATGAGTAAGGCTATTTCTACCACCTCATACTTGAAAGATTGTTGTTATTCCATATTTGAAAGATTCCATCTTCCACATAGCAGTAGATTTCACGTGGCAATTTCCATGGGAGGGCTTTTACTAAAAGCATTGCTGTGTAAGGCACTAATCTTATAGTTTTATCTCAATTTAATCCTGGATTTTTGAACTTTTTTTTTTTTTTTTTAAATTTCAATTTAGTCCCAAACTTCTTTCAGTAATAAAATAGCAAAAGCCACCCAGTATGCAATTGCGATTATTTCGACTCGAGATGATTGCTAATTAAATGGCCATTCAACTCTTAATCAATGATTAGCATTGCTTTTAAATGAATTTTAAAAGTATATTTAATTAGATTGAGTGAATTTTGATAATAAATAATTAATAGTTTTTTTAATATCATTAAATAAAGATTACCTGAACCCATAAAATTAAATAATTCTCATTAATTAGGAACAACTTTTTAAAATTAAGCCCCGGGGATTAAAATCTGATTTTTTGTAAAATTTTGATAAAAGTTGATGAATGTGTGGTTGAAAAGTTAAAATTAATTATTAATTTTGACTTAATTTAAAATTAAAATTTCAATAAAATAGGAGGTTATCGTCTAACAGTACACAGATTTGACTTCAACTGCCGCAACTATTACCAAGGTTTTCTGGTGAATGTTCATAGTATGTTTGAATCTGGACGTAATTGAAGAAATGGTTTGTATAGTACTAAAAGTATTCACGGTATGGTCGATAATATTTGACACGTGAATTTAGACGTTATTAATAAAAATGTTTTTGTGATTACTTAATATACAAAAATTAAATTGAATAGAATTAGACAGAAATAATTATTAAATTGGAAATAATCTATTTCAGAAGAGTAATTAATGCTATTCGTAGTCGCTCATTGCGACAGTCGCCCTACGTGACATACACATGAAAGGTGATTATTTGATACATTAATGTGGTAGTTTTTTTACTCATTAATGCATTAAATAACTACCTGCCATGTGTATGCCACATACGACAATTACTGTAGTGAGCGATTGCAAATGACATCATTTCAGAATGGTGATTGTTATTGACATAAATACAGTATCGTGTGTTTATGATAAAACAATTAAAAAATTAAACACGACAATTAATTTTAATCCCTTTTCTTGGGAACGTCCTTTTTACCATTCATTGCTGGCTATAAGTACACACCTCTCCTTTCTCTTCAATCATCTTCCATCAACTCAAACCTCCCACCGCCAAATATTTTAATTATTCTGGCAATGGCAGATACAGGAATTGGTCACCATGGTTTCAATTTCTCTAGCAAGAAAAGATCGGGATCCGAGGATCAATGGGATCGAGAAGATTTCATCGCAGCCAAGAAGGCGATGAAACCAATGATATGGGAGGACCCAGCGGCGGCGATATCTAATACCCGCCACGAGTTCGGCGAGCATGGTGGCGTAAACATGTCAATTGAGGCTTCCGCCACCTTCACCGTCATGGAACCGGAGACCATGCGCCGTATGTTCTCTGGCGAGCTTGGCCCCGATCGCGACTTTTTTATTTACAGCCGCCATTTTAACCCTACCGTTCTGAATCTCGGCCGTCTCATGGCTTCACTTGAGGGCACCGAGGCGGCGTACTGCACAGCCTCCGGCATGTCCGCCATCTCCTCGGTGCTCCTCCAACTCTGCAGCTCCGGCGGACACGTGGTCGCCTCTCGTACACTGTACGGCGGCACCCACGCTCTATTGACACATTTTTTACCTAGGGCATGCAACATAACGACGTCGTTTGTGGACATTAGGGATCACGAAATGGTTAGGGAAGCTATCACGGAAGGCAAAACTAAGGTGTTGTACTTCGAGTCTATGTCGAATCCAACTCTGGCGGTGGCTAACGTGCCGGAGCTGTGCAGGATAGCGCATGATAAGGGCGTTTTGGTGGTGGTGGACAACACTTTTGCACCGATGGTGTTGTCGCCGGCGAGGTTGGGCGCTGACGTGGTGATTCATAGCATTTCCAAGTACATTAGCGGTGGGGCCGACATCATTGCAGGTTGGTTCATTAATTTGCTGTTTTTAGCCTACGTTGGTATGCTCTTTTTGGGTCCATATATCCAACGCGTGTATTTGGACGTGTCACTAGGCGATATGATAACTATGTGCCTTGATTTCAATATTTTCTTTGACTTGTATCTTGATATCGATGATAGAATTTTCTGATAGGTATTTAACTTTATGGTTAAAATTTTAAATTTATTTAATTTAGCAGAGTTTGAACTCAATTTTAACTAGTCATCTTCAAGAATCAACACTAGTTTTCCTTTATGTTTTGATCTTTTTGTAATTGGCTGGTTTGAGTTGCATGTTATTATTCAAAACCGTAACATGATATTAAAATCAAACAAAATGTTTAGTATAATTTTTCGTCACTACCTATTAATAAAATTGTTTAGTGACATAATTGTTCTCTAAATATTTCAGGTTTTAGATAAAATTTCATAATCGAGGAAGCAGAATATAGCACACCATAGGGCCATTGTAAAGCTGGTTTTCGCTATTATTTTAGCTTGTTCTTCCCTTTAGAAGTGAAGAACACTATGATGTCAAATTCTCGAGCTCCTCTTCCCACTAGTTTGGAATCTACTCTTTTAACTTTTGAAATTTTATATTGCTTCTTTAATCAGGTGTCATATTCGTTCTAATAATTTTTTGAATGATGCTATAGAGCAATCCCGGGCTCCGTTCCAGGGCCAAGGCCACCTCGGCCCTTGATTTTTAATACATGGGGCCCGCGCCCCTTTACACCAAGGGCTGAGATTTCGCCACCTCAACCCCTGGATTTAATCCTGGGATTTGCAGGATTTTTGTAATTTTTTTGATAATATATATATATATTGAAACACAAACATGACCCTCGGCAGATGGATCCAAATGTATGTCCGAAAAGCATGCATGTGATTTCCAGACTAAAGTATAATTTGATCACATCCCACCTTCTAGCCTGGCCAGTGTAATGGCCACAGATATAGTACTATGGTTGGATTTGTCACACGAGTGGGTCCAAAATAAAATGTTGTATGTGAGGCAACATCATGTGATGGGATTTTTTCTCCGAAAGGATATCATACTTTAATAGAAGTAAGAGGGGATGCAATGTATTGATTCTAGAGTCTGGATGCTTTTTTTAGTCCAGAATAACAAACATGGTGACGTCACTTAGCTCTGGATTGAAGATGTGTACATCTTGAACTTCTTTCTTTAAAAGTTCAAGTTTTAATATAAGCTGAAAGTTTTACATATTTATATTCTATCTTTAGTAATATGGATAATCATGTTGATGATGAGAATCTCCAACATAGATTCGTATTTCATTGATCAAATTTTTATTTATTTATTTATTTTTTGGGCTTAAATCTCCAACATAGATTCGTATTTCATTGATCAAATTTTTATTTATTTATTTATTTTTTGGGCTTAAGATTGTCTAAAGGTTTTAATTGGATAAATCTACTCTGCCGAGCCTTTTACAGGTTTCACACGAGATGTTTGTCCCATGTGGGACCAAACTCATTAATAAATTATCCCATAAATACTCCATCCCCATGTATGTGAGTACCTGTAATTTCAAAGCTTGTACTTGTAGTGCTTGTGGTATTGTTAATTGAAGTTGGGTCAAATTCTGCTTCTTTTCTTTGCACATGTTGGTTAACCCACCCTGGAAATCTACAGGTGCTGTATGTGGGCCGGCAAGCCTAGTGAATGCCATGATGGATCTTCATCAAGGAGCTCTTATGCTATTGGGCCCAACGATGAATCCAAAAGTTGCTTTTGAACTTTCGGAAAGGATTCCTCACTTGAGCCTGAGAATGAAAGAGCACTGCAATCGGGCCCTGGTGTATGCCACAAGAATGAAGAAACTGGGCCTAAAAGTTATCTATCCAGGCCTAGAAGATCATCCAGATCATTTCATTCTGAAGTCTTTGGCAAATAAAGACTATGGCTATGGGGGAATTCTATGCGTGGATATGGAAACTGAGGAAAGGGCTAACCGTTTGATGAACTTGTTACAAAATTGCTCTCAATTTGGGTTTATGGCTGTTAGCTTGGGGTACTACGAGACCTTAATGTCTTGCTCTGGGAGTAGCACGAGCAGTGAAATGAATGCGGAAGAGAAGGCATTGGCAGGCATTTCGCCTGGGTTAGTGAGGATGTCAATTGGGTACAGTGGCACCTTGGAGCAGAAATGGAGCCAGCTCGAGAAGGCACTTTCCCGACTTAATGATTCAGGTTTCTTCCAGAAGATTTAGGCGTGTTTGTTAATGTTTCTATTTGAGTTAGCACAATGAAATCCACCATATGTATTTGGTGATTTGGACTCGACTGTTTCACTAGCTTTTATTTTATGAACGACTATCTATTATAAGTATTCGTAGACTAGACATACGCATGCTCGTCAAAATGCAGACTTCTTCATTCCTTCGAATCAAAATCTCAAATAAAAAATGAATGAAGAATTCTGAAACGAGAAGATCCAAAACACAGTTAGGATTTGGCAGATTGTTCTTTCCTCTTTTTAAATTTACTGGACAAACACATTAGACAACAACATAACAAAATTAATCAAACAATGGAGTCACATTTTGACTTTTAATTTATTGAATTTGGGCTTGTTATGATCCACAATAGGAGTGGCTAATCTTTTTGGATTAATACTTACAAACAGGAGATTATTGTACAGCAATTAAGATTTAGCATTCTAAACAAATGATTGGAGAAAATTTCGGGATCCACAAATAATTCTCTTGTCGGTTTTACGCTTTATCACTACTATCTTTCAACGTGAGAGTTTAGTCAATAAAATTGAATTGATTTTATTTTTCTTAATTATGACCATTAGATTCATTCGTCCTTTCTGTTCCCACCCACTATTGAAGTCAATTTCTGCATTTCCAACTTTATTTTTAAAGAGTAATATTAATTGCGTCAATTAAAGTTCACATGCTCTTAACATAACAATATGTACCGGTTCAATTGTAAGATTATGTTGCACTAAGTATTACAATATCACAAAGCATAAATCCTTTAATTAAGGAGAACCCTTAAAGATCACAAATTGTCTCTCCTCTAACTACGAGAAATAAATTCTTGTATGAACCTTGAAAGTTTAGATTATCGATTTATTTAGACACAACGCGTGAAAATGATTAATTAAAAGCAACAAATCACTTTTTAATTATTCCTAGACGATAATTTTAAATAAGTCAATTTATCCTATATTTGAATACCAAAGTTTGTAAATTGCTTAAAGTAAATAACACCAATATGATCACGGAGAAAACCTTTGGAAATAATCAAAACAATCCACCATAAACGATGAGTTGTACAGTATGGTCTATAAACAATCCTGACTAACTATTAGTTCCCTTGGACCTTCTTCCTGTAATCATCATGGCCCTCCTGGATTGCATGCTCCTCACAGCAGCTCCCAACCTTTGGTATTGTTTATCTTATGTGGATTTCCAAGAACGAACTTTGTTCCAATGGAACCTCATTCCGCAACTCCAGAACTCTGAGCGCCTTTTTCCAAAACTTCATTAATTCTGAAAGTTAATTGACAAAAATAGGTTTGATGTTTGATCAACGATCTCAATCAAATCTAAATTTGAATGAATTTATGAATCAAATAATTTGGTGGTTGAATCTTGAAATCGATGAAATTGATTTGGATCTGTTAGGGATTTTTCCCAATCAAAATAGTTAACAAACTGAAAAATCGAATAAGCACACAAGAAAGCACAAAGAAAAACACCATATTGTTCACCTAGTTTAGCAAAAATGCCTAATTTGGGGGACTCAGAGAACAGCCCACTACTAAGTGCATAAAAGATGTCCAAAAGAGAGTACAATATTCCAACAAATCCAAATCAAAACATGATTTGATCCATGATCCAATAGGATCTCCAAAATCGCCAATCCTAGTCAACACAAAACCGCCGAAAACCACAACCTAACCACTATACAGGTTACTAGCCATTCTCATAGGCCAAAGAGTTATTGTAGCACCACAAATTTCACAAGTTTTCAGTAAAAGACTAAGATCTCATGAGAGATCTAAGGAATAATCAGGACGAAGACGAAAGAAGAAAATACTTAGAGAGAAAATACAATAGACTCTCAGAAAACCAAAAGCCAAGAATTACTCAAATCATTGCCTTCCATAAAATTTCAGAACCAAGTGTTTAATCTCAGCCGTTCATCTAAACCAATGGTCCATATTCTTTTTAAACTAACACAACTCGAGTGAAGGTCCATCCACCAGTTAGGGGTTGCCATGTGGCCTTCCACATCCAATTGGATTAAAATTTTAACAAAGACCATTTTATCCTTCCATAAGTTGTGTTTTTGAGATCTCTATAGAATAATTATGATTCAACACACTTTTGGACATTCATATGATATGATATATATAGTGGAAAGTGTTTGGGATGGAAAGGGGGTTCAAAATCAAAATTTTGAAGCAAAACAGGATTGCTGAGCGAGTGGCAGCTGAGCAGTCGTCAGTATTTTCATCGTAACTTTTTCTTCTGATATCAGATTGAGGTGATTCAAGGTGCATTGAGAAGATAACTCAAAGGGCTGCAATTCTTCTAGTTAGCATTTTCCAAATTTGAAATTTTTCTATGGGAGAAATGTTTTGAAAGTTGCGACTAAGAATTTGGAGCATAACGTGTACGACTCTTTGACACCCTATAGATTTCTAATTGTATTTCCTTAGTCATATGTGATCTTTTTGGACATCTTGGACTCTTTCAAGACCTATAATATCAATTCTTAACTATTTTTATTTTGATTATAACTCAATAAACTCCTAATACAATTCAACTAGGATTTGATTTGACTTAGAAAATTGTCAATTACAACTTGGACCTACCAAACTTGTTAATTACAATATCATCTATAGAATTCAAGAAACCAAATATTCTGCAAATGGTTCTAATTTCTATAGATTTGGCACTTAGGAAGGAAAAGGAAAACAATCGAAAAGAAGTAATCAACGCATTAAATTTTGAGTCAATATACGTCTATGTATTAATCTTTCGAACTCATTCAAACAACTTTGTTAGGTCGTTTAGGTTGTCTAGTCAAGAAAAATACTCAATGGTGGGCATGGTCCTCTCTACCCCAAAGCATGTTAAGAAATGAAGATGTGAAAGGTGAAGACTGTTGACTGAGATTTGAAATTGTTACGTGTTTGCACACTTAGTCAATCCACCGGAGCCCACAGCCAACTCATGTCGAACCACGTGGCACTGAAGTCGAGGTGCCCACAAAACGAGATCCAGAGAAACCTAGGCCCATATATATCGAGACCCATCTATCATTGCCTCTTGAAGAGCTTTCGAAGCCTATATGCCAAGGCCCTTTGAAGGTGGACGAGGCCCTGTTAGCCAAAGCTCTGTAGCTGAGGTAGCAGCCTCCGAATCATAAAGCAGCATCTTCCATAGACGCTTCTCCCAAGAGATCTTCTGCACAAAGATCTTACTTGAATGATTGATAGGACATTTGTCATGAGTATAATGTTAAGTCTTGTCACTAGTAGAGGCGGCTCTGCCAATCAATAAATGTATAGCAGGCTAGGTGCGCCTGATGCCTACAATTTGACATGTAAATTAACCGGATGAGGCCACGTGTACCCCAAACCAAAGGTCACGATCTAACTTGTGACACTATAATTACTCCCCCATGTACCCCATACAAATGCTAATGCAAGAATCAATACAAGAAACCATACTTTACTCAACTCTCTCTTTCTTATTATCTTGCAAAACAAACGAGTTCATACATATTTGGACACATGTTTGCAAATATCGATTGGTAATTATTGTACAATCGATCAACGAACATCCTACCGGATTCCAAACGTTCTCGTCCCGCGATGTTGAGCTACTCTCATGCCCTCGATCCGTCCATTTTAGATCGTCCACGTGTCTTAGCGTGTTGCACTTTCGCTCACGTGTGCGCGGGTGGGTCCGGCATCTGTTGGCAACATTTTGTGGGGTCAACAGATTGACGCCGTCTGTGGGAATCCATACAATAACCACAAACAACCTTATGGTGAAAGCTTGTAGAAGAGGAACATTTAGGCATCCCCCTTGAAAAAAGGATTTGTTCTTGAAAAGAATAAGAGGAAGCCCCACAACTTAGCAAAAATTTGAAGGTCAAACAAAGAAAATGAGTCAAACGAAGACACACCCCCCAGGAGGGTAAGAGAAAACGTAGGTGTGCCCCTTCCAGCAGCTCGGCACTGACTCTACCACCACCATAGATGAGGTGGAATACGAGTGATAGTCGGCTATCAAGAGAAATGGCCGTCATGGCAGCCAACATGAGGGACATTGCTAGCCAGAACATGGCTATGAGGGAACTCATGGCCCAAATGTAAGGCCAGGGAGGCTTCCCCATTCCTCCATACGCCCCCCAAGGGCACTACCAGCAAGAAGATGAAGTTCAACGTCAGAGGGTTGCCTCGCCGGACTATAGCCGAGGTAGAAGTCCATTTGAAAGGGAAGTGAAAGTTGATGTTTCTTCCAACTACACTTCAGAGCGACCCACCGAGGTCCCTTTAAACCATGATAACTTCCCACCTCCATATGAGCAAGAGCGAAGACATAGGAGGTCAGGTAGTGTATTTGACAGAATCAGCCCTGCAAAACTGAGGCCTAGGCAACAACAACCTCGCGAGCATTGGACAAGGCCACAGGTCCCACCTCCAATGCCTTAACAGCCGGAAGAAAGGTATGAAAATGCCCCCCATGCTGCACCGCCTAGAAATAGGCGTCAAAGGAGGCTAGGAACCGTCTCAAAACCTTTCACCAGCCACCAAGGTATGAGGTCGAAGAAAACAATTCAGATGAGCATCAGAGGTCCTGTGACTTGGACGATGATGATGAAAATCTGCTATTCTCGAGGGAACTAAGAAGTGCCCAGGTCCCGAACCACTATGTTATGCCTAAGATACCAAAGTATGACAGAAGAGGCGACCCTGAGAAGCACCTGAACGCTTGCAAAACTCACATGAGCCTAAGGGGTGCCACCCCAGCTGTGAAATGTAGAGCTTTCCACTTAAAACTTAGGGGCAGCTAAAATTTGGTAGAGTAGGTTACCCCCTGAGAGCATAAGAAGCTGGCTCGAATCCAAGACCACTTTCTTGAAGAGGTTTGCTGTGAGCAAAGAAGGAGAGGCTCTCATCCAACATATCCAAGATATGAGATAGGCACATGGGGAGTCCTTGAAGTGCTTCCTATCACGCTTCACTGATGAGATGACGTACTGTGTGCAAGTCACCGACCGTGAGGCATTATCTGCACTGAGAGGAGGCCTAAACATGATCGCCCTATTTTGGAGGGACGTGCAAAATCAAGACCTCACCACCTATGACGCCCTACTCGAGATGATGAGACGGGAGATCATCAATGAAGAATTGATTGAGTATAGGAATAGGGCAAGTAGATGCCTCCCACCTCCGCAAAGACAGCGTACTAGAGGGTCGACCTCCCACTTGATGGATTACCAAATGAACCAAGCCGATAATGAGAGTTCCTTAGGGATAGAAATGAATCGCCCCAGGCGAACAGGCCCCCACTTAGGTACGAAAACCAACCTGGGCGTGAAGAGGTCGCTCCCTATCAAAGGGATGTTTCCTTATGACGAAGGGAACACGATGCAGAGAGGCCCAGGGAAGGCGTAGACACCGAAGAAATAAAAAAACTCAGGATGAGGCCCCTATCCACAAGGTGGATACCATATTTGGAGGCCTATATGTGGGTGGTGAAACGCAGAATGCTAAAAAGAATTACACCCGTGAGGCTAAGCACCCCCCACTTACTAGCTATATTGTGGACCACAGCTCCCGGAGGAATCAAGTTCCACCTATTATCTTCACCCAGGAGGATGCTGAAGGAATTCACTACCCCCACTGTGATGCACTTGTGGTGAGAGCGGCCATAGCTTGGAATGGACTCAAACAAATGCCAGTTGACAACGGTAGCTCTGTCAACATTCTATTCGGGTCCACCTTCAACAAGATGATACTGGACCATGAGTTGACGTCCACTACCACTCCCTTGTACGGATTTACCGGAGATAGCATCACTCTGAGAGGAAAGATCACCCTTGCAGTGGAGATGGGAGAGTCTTCCCAAACTATAATGAACTTCATAGAGTTCCTCATTGTTGACAGTGGATCGGCTTACCACGGAGTATTAGGTAGGCCAGCTCTAAAGGAATTGGGAACCGTCACCTTCATCCACCACCTATACATGAAATTTTCAACGAAAAACGGGGTGGCAACGGTGAGAGGCTACCAAAGAGGCTCGAGAGAGTGCTATCTAAGCTCCATCAGAAAGGTAGAGCCCCAGGACGTCCATATGATTATCGCCAACATAGGCATGGCTGATATCCCAGGTGATGCTCCCTCTGAACCTAAAGATGTGGAAATGATCGACATACCATCCATTTCGGAAGTATTGGTCATCGATGAGATTAACCTCCGTATAATTGAACAGGAACCTCAAGCATCCCCAATTGAGGAACTTGAAAGCTTCTCGTTGGACCCCCGAGATCTATCCAAATTATTGAAAGTGGACAAAGGGTTGTCCAACAGTTTGAAAAAAAAAGATCAAGGATTTCCTAAATAGGAACCTTGATGTCCTTGCTTGGAGGCATGAGGACATGGTAGACATAGACCCCAAGGTCAGTTGCGACCACTTGAAAATTGATCCTAAAATTGCCCTATACAGACAAAAAAGAAGATCCCTCAAACTTGAGAGGTATGAGGTCCTGAAGGAAGAAATTCAGAAGCTCATCCAAAATGGCTTCATCAGGGAGGCCACCTATCCGAGGTGGGTCTCCAACCCGATTTTAGTGAAGAAACACAACGAAAAATAAAGGGTATGCATTGATTTCACTAACCTCAACAAAGCTTGCCCGAAGGATAATTTTCCACTACCAAGGACTGACCAACTGGTAGACTCCACGGCTGGGCATGAGTAGTTGAGCTTCATGGACGCATACTTCGACTACAACCAAATTCCCATACACCCGGCCAATGAGGAACACACCTCTTTTATCACAGACAGAGGCCTTTATTGCTATAAGATGATGCCCTTCGGGTTGAAAAATGCCAGGGCCACATATCAAAGGCTCATCAATAAAATATTTGTGAATCTCATCGGCAAGACAATAAGGGTCTACGTAGACGACATGCTTGTGAAAAGTTTGAAAGTTGGGGACCACGTGACGCACCTCAACAACACCTTCCAAATTTTGAGAAGGTATAGGATAAGGCTCAACCTTCTCAAGTGTGATTTCGGAGTTGCCTCTAGAAAATTCTTATGATACATGGTCAACCAACGCAGAATTGAAGCCAACCCTAAGAAGATTGAGGCCCTATGCAAGATGAGGTCCCCCAAAAGCCAAAGGAGGTACAAAGCTTGGCTGGGCGAGTGGCCGCACTTAGTCGCTTCGTCTCCAAAGTTACAGACAAATGCCTCCCATTTTTCAAAGTGTTGAAAGCTGGGAAGAAGTTCCAATAAGCCGAGGAATGTGAAGAGGCCTTCGAGGGCCTGAAAAGGCACCTAGGGCAAACCCCCCTCCTCTCGAAATTGAAGCCCGACGAGATTCTTCAGTTGTATTTGGCTGTCTCCAATGAGGCCACCAGTGCGGTTCTAATCCGAGAAGAATGGACCATCCAACTCCCCGTATACTATACAAGTAAAGCACTCCTATCGTTGAAAACCCGTTACCCCAATATGAAGAAGCTTGCTTTGGCCTTGATCATGACTTCCAGGAAATTGAGGCCTTATTTCCAAGCCCACACCATACATGTGATAACAAACTTTCCCCTGAGGCAGGTACTTCAAAAGCTCAATGCTTCAGGAAGATTATTGAAATGGGCGGTACCTCATGTTTAAGGCTAGGACGGCCATCAAAGGCCAAGCTTTGGCTGATTTTGTGACAAAATTTGCCAATTTACCTGAGGTGGATGAAATCATGGAAAATGCCGAGCCCCTACATGAAACTTATTCGTGGATGGATCGACTGGGGACACCGACTTAGGTGCTGGAGTTGTCCTCATCAGCCCGGAAGGTCACAAGCTGAACTCAGCTGTGAGGTTCGGGTTCAAGGCCACCGACAATGTGGCAGAATATGAGGCGCTTCTTGCGGGCCTTAGATTAGCCAAAAAAAATACAAGTGAAGAGGCTACTTATCAGTAGTGACTCCCAGCTGGTCGTTAGCTAGGTGAACGACAACTTCACAGCCAGAGACAAAATCATGGCCTCCTACTTGAAAACGGTGATAAACCTCATCTCATTCTTTGAAAAGTTTGAGTTGATCCAGATTCCCGCATTAAAAATGCACATGCGGATGCACTCTCCAAACTTGCAAGTAGCAAGGACTCCAAACTATTCACAGTAGTCCCAATAGAGCACCTCCTCACACCATCAATCGAGGCCTCCAATGTGATATGGGTGGCCGAGACTCTTACCTGGATGCAGCCCATCGTAGCCTACCTAAAGGACTAGGTACTTCCCACTAATAAGCATGAAGCTTACAAGCTAAGGAGGAGGTCAACTTATTTCCTCTTCATTGATGATATACTCTACAAGAGGAGCTTCTCCTCTTCACTCCTTCGATGCGTGGGAGGAGAAGAGGCTACCTACTTCTTAAGGGAAGTTCACGAGGGAGTTTGCGACAACCACTCTGGAGGTCTATCTTTGGCGTAAAAAATACTGAGATAGGGGTACTATTGGCCTACCTTGAAAAAGGATGCCCTCCAATTTGTACGAAAGTGCGACAAATGCCAACAATTCTCTCCTATCCAAAGACAACCATCGCAAGATTTGACCACGGTCTCTACCCCTTGGCCCTTCTTGAAGTGGGTTGTAGAGGAGGCGCGAGCTTTGCAATTGTGGCCATTGATTACTTCACGAAGTGGGTTGAGGCTGAACCACTGGCAAAAATCACAGAAGCAAACACTTCCAAATTCTTGTGGAAGAACATTATATGCCGGATCGAGATTCCCTACTCAATCGTCTCAGACAACGACAACAACAAGGTCAGAAGTTTGTGTGAAGAACTTGGCATCAAGAAGCACTTCTCCACACCTCACCACCCACAAGCTAATGGTCAAGTTGAGGCTGTGAACAATATCATAAAACACGTCCTAAAAATGAAGCTTGATGTGTCAAAAGGGGCCTGGGTGGATGAGCTGCCACAAGTGCTTTGGGCAATCCGAAACACTACGAGGACTCCCATAGGGAAAACAGCTTTCCTCATGGCATTGGGAACTGAGGCGATGACCCCATCGAGGTCGGACTTCCTTTATTGAAATAACAAACAACGAGCTTCGGAGGTGCGACCTCGACTTCATTGAGTGAAGAAAAAATGACGCCTAGCTGAAGCTCGCCACATATCAAAGAAAGATGAAGAAGTACTTCAACTCAAAGGTGAAGAAGAGGTCATTTTGAATCAACGACCTGGTCCTTAGAAGAGTCTTCCTCTTCTCCAAGGAACCAAGCACTAGTACCTTGGATCCGAATTGGGAAGGCCTGTATAGAATCAAGAAAGAGATTCAACTTGGGACATACTGGATTGAAGACATGGACGACAAGGCACAACCCCGTCCATGGAACATTGAGTACCTCCGAATCTATTATCAATGAATGTACTACCTCGCTGGACGATCGTTCCCAACTCATGTAACATTTCCATGATTCAATAAAATTGTCCATAATTGAATTCAAGTGTCGCACTATGTCGTCACATCGGAGGAGAGGTCAGCATCCCATATCCGGGCCACCTCGCTTGAACTCTGAGGCGTACATCACTTGCCTCCCAGTGGTGAGGCTGAACACCACTGAGAGAAGCCTCAACATGGATGAACCATCTACCATGTTGGCAAGCGTCGTCACCACAAACGAGAGGTCAGCGCCATCTTTAGGCCACCTTGCTTAAACTCCGAGGCGCACATCACTTGCCTCCCTATGGCGAGGGTAAACGCCACTGGGAGAAGCCTCAACATGGATGAACCATCCACCATGTTGGGAAGCGTTGTCACCTCGGATGAGAGGTCAGTGCCATCTCTGAGCCACCTCGCTTAAACTCCGAGACGCACGCCACTTAACTCCCTTTGGCGAGGCTGAACGCCACTGGGAGAAGTCTCAACATGGTTGAACCATCCGCCATATTGGGAAGCGTCATTACCTCGAAGGAGAGGTCAACATCCCATATCTTTGCCACCTCGCTTGAACTCTGAGGCTCAATCAACTTGCCTCCCTTTGGCAAGGCTAAAAGTTAAGGGGAGAAGCCTCAACATAGATAAACCATCCACCATGGGGAAGCGTCGTCACCTCGGACGAGAGGTCAGCGCCATCTGGGCCACCTCACTTGAACTCCGAGGCGCACGCCACTTGCCTCCCTTTGGCGAGGTTGAAGGCCATTAGGAGAAGCCTCAACATGTATGACCCATCCACTATGTTGGGAAGCGTCGTCACCTCGGACGAGAGGTCAGCTCCATCTTTGGGCCACCTCGCTTGAACTTCGAGGCGCACGCCACTTGCCTTCTTTTGGCGAGGCTGAATGCCATCGGGAGAAGTCTCAACATGGATGAACCATCTACTATGTTGGGAAGTGTCGTCACCTCAAACGAGAGGTTAGCGACATCTCTTGGCCACCTCGCTTAAACTTCGAGATGCACGTCACTTGCCTCCCTTTGGCGAGATTGAATGCCACTGGGAGAAGCCTTAACATGGACGAACCATCCACCATATTGGAAGCATCGTCACCTCGGACGAGAGGTCAGCGCCATCTCTGGGCAACCCCGCTTGAACTCCGAGGCACACGCCACTTATCTCCCTTTGGCGAGGCTGAACGCTACTGGGAGAAGCTTCAACATGGATGAACCATCCACCATGTTGGGAAGCGTCGTCACCTCAGACGAGAGGTCAGCGCCATCTCTGGGCCACCTCGCTTGAACTTCGAGGCGCACGCCACTTGCTTTCCTTTGGCAAGGCTGAACGCCATTGGGAGAAGCCTCAATATGGATGAACCATCCACCATGTTGGGAAGTGTCGTCACCTCAGACGAGAGGTCAGAGCCATCTCTGGGCCACCTCATTTGAACTCCGAGGCGCACGCCACTTGTCCCCCTTTGGCAAGACTGAACGCCACTGGGAGAAGCCTCAACATGGATGAATCATCCACCATGTTGGGAAGCGTCGTCACCTCGGACGAGAGGTCAGCACCATCTCTGGGTCACCTCGCTTGAACTCCAAGGCGTACGCCACTTGACTCCTTTTGGCAAGACTGAACGCCACTGGGAAAAGCCTCAACATGGATGAATCATCCACCATGTTGGGAAGCATCGTTACCTCAGAGGAGAGGTCAACATCCCATCTCTTTGCCACCTCGCTTGAACTCCAAGGCTCACACAACTTGCCTCCCTTTGGGGAGACTGAAAGTCAAGGGGGGAAGCCTGAACGAGGATCGAACTTCTTTACCCATTGATTCACAAGTCTCAACCACTACGGGCTTCACGAAACTACCTTTTCAATCAGACATAGCAATGTTCTCATTTTAGCTGAAAGACCTCTAGTCTTAAGATCTATTCAGGTCACAGTTATTAAGTTTAAGTACAATTTACTTGCTTAAGTGATTGGAGTTGGGGTATCAAGTCAAGGTTATTTATTTCTTCAATCAATCTTAAGTTTAATTACTTAACGAGGCCAATGCACTTGGAAGAAGAACAACATTGAATGAAAAAGATTATATTGATTTTCAATCAGTTACAAAAGGAGGGCCTGAGGCCAGTACATCAAAATTAACTGAAAAGTAAACTATCTTAAGCCTCGGATGATGGCAGAGGTGCCTTGGCAGCTTGAGCATCATAACTCCATTTTTCTGCATCCGTTGCTTCATTCCCAACTACTTCATCAGCTGGGGTCTGTGACACTTCATCCACAAACTCCGACCTAAGTTGTGACAGGTCTTGATTTGGGAAGAGTTCCTCAGCCCTCTCTATCATTTCAGCATAAGCATAATTCCTCCAGTAGATGCTGAAGCTCTTGTACTCCTCAGTGTTGTGGAAGTTGGCAGTGTAGTCTTTGACTGCCTCCTTCCTCGCCACATTGGCCTCCTCTTTTATCTTAGCCAATTCATCCACATATCACTTTATTTGGCCCTCCAAGAATTTGTAGGTGTCTTGAGCCCCAGCGAGCTACAGATTGGCCTTCTCCAAGGCCTCAGCAGTCACCTTTTGGTGGTTATTGGAGACCTCCACTTTCTTAGTAAGGGAAGCCACCTCGCATTGGGACTCATAGACCTTCTCTTCAAGGCCTCAATCTAGGCCAAAGTAGACTCTAGCTTGGCCACATCTTCTATTTTTTGGGCCCTCACTTCCTCTGCCTTGGCCCTGGCCTTCTTCAGCTCCTCTACGAGGGAAGTCACCTTCTTCTCCGATGATTGGGTCCTCGTCTGAAAATTAGTAAGGGCCTCCCTGCATTCCAATGCGAGGCCAAAAGTTCTCACACTTTGGCTCATAAAAGCCCTTGTCAAGTCCACCACGTCGCAGGAAGAGGCGTGCAACAGCCACCGGTCCGTCCAAAATTTATGGAAGCTCTCCGTAGCCTTCACCAACGCCGGGGCCAGGACCTCCTCCCTCCCAGCAAAGAAGTTTGACGATTCTCCTTGCACTCTTGCAGGCCTCTGCTTGGCAGCTTCATCCTCTGCCTTCTCAGCAGCCTTCCTCGCAGCAGCCTCCTCAGCCTCAGCATGCCACACCATTTCAATTTTCACCACTTTTAAGGTGGCCTCCAGGAACTTCGGTTGAGGGGCTTCTTTTCCTTCGTGGGACACAGAGATCCCGAACTTCCCAGATAAGCTGGTGACGTGCCCCAACTTCCTCTTCTTCTGCTCCTCGGGGACCTTGTCCTTTCTCTGAGGCTCTTTGGCCTTCTCCGGCCACTGAGGGGTCCCCTCTTCAACAGCCCTGGAACTGCTATCTTTGGAGAGTCGCTCCACCCTCCCCCAAACCTCCTTTGCACCACTTGACCCTAGGTTCAGGGGCCTCGTTGTCACATTGGATGTGGCCCTAAGGATAGAGGTCATGTCCGGGGCTGGGTACACCCTCCTCTTGCACTTGTCTGCAAAGTAGGTCAGTATATCAACATCGAAACAAAAAGCAAGAAATACACAAGTATACAAGCCTTTTACCTTTGGAGGCCATCAATTCAAAGTCAATGAAGTAGCGGCTTTGGTCGATGAGGTGGTCGAAGTGCCGAAATTTCAGAGGTCTCTTGTAAATGTCCTCTATCACTTCAAACTCCTCATTGCTCAGCTCGAACCTCGTACTACTATCTACACAGCAAGCCTCAACAGTTAGAAAAATAAAATTTTGAATACAGAACGTAAACTACTTAGGTTGGGAGACTTACGAGCTTCGTAGTACTGGGTCGGTACTGTGCAAGCCAAGACCGTGTCTCCCTCCACTACATGCCCCCTGCTCCTCACTCAGAACCACGATTCCTTCCACCCCTTGATGGAAGAAGGCAGCCCCACCACAAATGGTCCGTGAGCCCCCCAAGGAGTTAAGTAATACCACCCTCTTGACTCCTTACTTATCACCCTAGGCTGGAACAAGGTCATGAAGACATGGAGAAGCATATCTTCCCCAAGTGACACTTCCTTCCATAGAAAGTACGAGCCAACCAACTGGCTTCACCCATTTAGCAGAACCTGGGTCGGCAACAACATAAATTCCTAAGCACTGCCTTAAGGAAGGAGTGCAGAGAAAGACGCATACTTGCCTTAAACAGGTATTCACTAATCGCCACGCATCCGGGCCTTGGATAGCAGGCGCGCTCATGAGCCTCGAGCACCAACATTTCGACATAATGAGGTACACAGTACCTCTCCCTAATCTCTCCCAGTCTCTTCAAGGTCATATTTGAAGGTACTCTGGATGCCCCCCACTCTTCACTGTAATCTACTGGCTCTTTGGTCATAGCATATTGCTCGACCTTGAGGTCCCCTCGTCGAATGACGCAACAGTTACTAATTCCCTACCCGAGGTGGACTCCATATCAGAAAAGGATGAACTCAATGCAAGGAATTTTCTCTGAAAATACCTATGGAAAATGACTACGCGGACGAAGTAACGTCGAAAAACAAGAAAATCAACTGTTTGGACGCCAGAAAACTTGAGCTTTTTAAAAAGAAATCAGATTGCAAAGGTTGAAAATCCAGAATAATGGGGGTCTCTCGCCTTTTATAAAGGGCCAGGATGAGCCCCAGCCGTCTGATCAAAGCCCATTGAATCTGAACCATTCATTCTAAACCAAATTCGAGGCGTAGAATTTAAACGATTTTTCAAACCTACACTTCAGATTCAAGCGTGTCCTCCAGGCACCTCCCCAAATACGTCTGCTTCTAGAATCTCCAGCTGTGATCATAATTACAACTTTAATTCGACGGTAGCAGACACCTTGGAAGTTGAACGATCCAGCCACCTTTTCTCGAAAATATGCGTAAAACATCAAATAATTGACACAACTGTCGAGGAACAATCATTACTAATGAGCATCAGAATTCAGCCTCCAACCTCCACAAGCCTCGCAGGTTCGGTTCTCAACCACCTCGACTTCCTCATCACAATTCAGCCATCAAGCCTCGTAGGTTTGATTTTCAACCACCTCTGCTTCCTCATCACAATGCAGCCATCAAGCCTCGCAAGTTCGGCTGTCAACCACATCGACTTCCTCATCAGAATTCAGCCTCCACAAGCCTCGCAGGTTCGGGTTCTCAACCACCTCGGCTTCCTCATAATAATATAGCCTCCACAATCCTCGCAGGTTCGGTTCTCAAACTACCTCGGCTTCATCATTTTTTGTAACAATTTTCAACATTCTTCTACAACGGCACATTTCTAACTCCAACCATGATATAAATATCTATACTTGGACTTGAAGGGCTATTATTTGAGGTACAAAAATTTCAAAAATTTCTTTCGACCTAACTGGCTAGCCTTACTTCATCAAAGTCCTCGCATTACATAAATGACTATACTTGGACTTGAGAGACTATTGTTATGTGTTTGCACACTTGGGCAACCCACCAGGGCCCACAGCCAACTCATGCTGAACCACGTGACACTGAAGTCGAGGTAATTTGCATAGTCGAGGCCCACAGAAGCCTAGGCCCATATATACCGAGGCTCATCTATCATTGCCTCTTGAGGAGCTTCCGAAACCCATATGCCGAAGCCCTTTGAAGGTGGATGAGGCCCAGTTGGTCGAACCTCTATAGCCGAGATAGCAGCCTCTGAATCACAAAGTAGCATCTTCCATAAACGCTTCTCCCAAGAGATCCTCTGCACAAAGATTTTACTTGAATGATTGATAGGAGATTTGTCATGAGTGTAATGTTAAGTCTTGTTACTAGTAGAGGCGGCTCTGCCAATCAATAAATGTATAGCAAGCTAGGTGCGGCTGATGCCTACAATTTGACATGTAAATTAATCGGATGAGGCCACGTGTACCCCGAACCAAAGGTCACAATCTAACTTGTGAAACTATAAATACTCCCCCATGTACCCCATACAAAGGCTAATGCAAGAATCAATACAAGAAACCATACTTTACTCAACTCTCTCTTTCTTATTATCTTGCAATAGAAACGAGTTCATACATATTTGGACACACGTTTGCAAACATCGATTGGTAATTATTGTACAATCGATCAACGAACATTCCGCCAGATTCCGAACGTTCTTGTCCCGCGCCGTTGAGCTACTCCCACGCCCTCGATCCGTCTGTTTTAGACCGTCCACGTGTATTAGCGTGTTGGACTTTTGCTCACATGTGCGCGGGTGAGTCCGACATCTGTTGGCAACATTTTTTGGGGTCAACAGAAACCTATGGTCTCGGCAAACCTGGTTAATTCAATTAATTACATGTCTTATGTTTGTAACTCACATTATGTGCTTAATCAAATCAACTAAATACGAGTTAGCTTTTTCTTCTCTTTCTTTTTCTTCACGTAGAATTGTAATGATATGGGGAAAAAAACCACCTATTGGAAATGATAGAATATTTCACACCATGAAATAGGGCTGGACAAATCTCTCAAGTCGAACTGAACCGAACCTGACGGTTCTTGTCGAATTAAATACCCGAACGGGTATCTGAATTGAGAACCGACGGGTACGGTTCGGTTCTCGGTTCTAGACCAAGAACCGAAGAATCGAATAAGAACCGAATCTTTCTAATTTTTTTTATATTGAGTAAATCAAATTATTTTAATTTTAATTTTAATTTTTTCTTAACAAATTAACAATTTCTAAATCCAAATTTTTTGCCCAATAATTTGTTTTATTTCTAATTTTTGGCGTCATTACCCATTTTATTGTTTCATTTCTTAGCTCAACAAGATCCAATCTACTAAATAACTCTAAACACTTACACTAAAGTGCATAACATTGTCTCGACTCTCGCACTCACTCTCGCAGCCTCACTGACATTTCAAAACCTATTTAATAGTCAGCCGATGCTGTGACCTCCGATCGAAGTTGCGACCTCCGCCGACCGAAGTTTTGACCGTAGCAATCATTTGAATAAAGTAGTCTACTAGTCTATGGCATTCCAAAACCATTGAATGTATCATTAGTTTAAAAAAAAAAAAAAAGGTTGAACCCCAACCTTGAGGGCCCCACCGCCCCGCCCCTAGAGTTTTGTGAGGGAGGTAAATCGCAAGATGTACTCCAACAGGCCAGGGAACAAGAGCTGTCTGTACACTGTGCCTACAAGGAGTTCAATTCCATGTTTCAGGAATCGAACCCCCACACTTCGGCTACCAGCAAGGCGTGAAATAACCTTACTCCTATCCTTTGCACCACTAGGCTATGCCCCGGGGGCCATTGAATGTATCATTTGTTGTATTTATATAATGTTGTTATAAAAGTTAAAAAATTTAATTATAGTATAGAACTGAACCGAACGGAATCGAACCCGAACGGTTCCATAATTATATTTGGACCCGACGATTCTATTTACTAGATATCCGAAAATTTTGATTCGATTCGATTCGATTCTCTTTAGAACCGAATTGAACCGACCCACCCCACTCTTACCATGAAAGATAAATAATATTGTTGTATAGTATCTGAATTTTCAGTATGATTCCTCATTATATGTAATATTTGTTGAAATGTTGACTGTGCCTCACTAATTTGGTTGACTGCTGACCGGTTGACTTTTTGGTGCTTTGGCCTTACACGGCGCACAATACTGGGAGTTCGATCTGTGGTTTCTGGGCCATATGACCTTTTTCGGCCAATTTTCAGTGTGTTTTGTGTGTGGGTGTCGTTTAGGGTTTTCGTCTCTTTTTTTTTATTCTCTCTAGTCCATTCTTCATTGTTTCTGTAATTTTGAATATTTGTGAGATTGGAGTGTTGGATTTCTCTGGTAAACTATTCTGCGTGAGGCGAGAGAAATACTTGAAGAATACATTTGTAAAAACTGATCTTGACTTGATTTTAGTGATATGGAGCAATATCTATGTAATAGATGCTAAATGAGTGAGTAGTACTTAAAACACGTGAGCATCCAAACCTGTTGGTGGGTGAAAATTCCTTGTGTTCGATTTTTACATTATGCAATCTTTCACTTTCTGAAAATATTTTGTTAAAAGAATCGATTTGGGGACCAACAATATTCTAAATATATGTTGAATTTAAGTTGGACAGATGATGCTTGATGAGCTGTAGATGGTTATCTTGATTTTTCTGCATTAATCATTCATCCGAGAAATCTTTCACTGCCTTGTTAGAATTCTAAAATTCCACGTTGAACGTTTGATAGATTATAAACAGGAAGAAAGTGAATACTACAATGATGCAAGTGAATACCCTCATGCAATTTTGTATTAACGAATTCTCTAATATCTGGCAATTTTGTAAAATGATAAAAAAAAAAATGAAACTAAATTGTGCACACAAGTTGTGACATGCATTTTCTGTTTCTGTCATGTGTCTATTTTGGTACTCGGATCACTTTGGCGGGACATGAGATAGGCCAACAGCAGGAGAGTGAGGGATCTACAGAAGCAATCTGCTGTTGATCCTGGATTCTGCCCTCATGATCACAGCTTATGTTCAAGAAATTTGCGGCAGGATTCGTAAGTTGGATTGGACGACAATGGATGGTATCAAGACAAAAGGGGCAAAAAAAAAAAATAATAATAATAATCACTAGAATTGTCTATTCCTATATATCAAACACACTGGAAGTTTGTGCTCAGCTGAGGCAATTAAGTTTCACTGACCAATTATATTGGCAGGAATGTCCGACTCATTTACATGACCTTGCTCTCAACACTAACAAACAAAAACCGAAACGGTCCTTGATCTTGGTTTCAAAAATTGAAAGCCTGACCACCATTTCCGCTATGACTGGAATTATCCATAAGGCAACTGGATTCAAAACTGTGTATATTATCTGTCGATGTCAAGTAACCATCAGCCATTTGTACCAATTCCGGATGATCATCAGCATCATCCCACAAGTAGTCAACCTTTCTGCTAAAATCATTGCACAAGGGCACGCCAAGCTCAGGGCTGTCGTTTTCTAGAAGAAACCTTGTCTGTTCCAAAGTTTCAATCTTCATGTTCTCGTTTCCAAATTGCTCGTCACTCCTTCCTTCAGCCTGTTTCAGTTTCTGCAGCTGGTGATCATAGAATCTAGTGAACTGCTATGTATGTCGAAATATACAAGACACTTGAATTTCCGCTAAACATCATGGGCATGTTTGGTACTTGGTACTGGACAGGACAAGTCTTTTATATCTTTAATACTATCCAGTACCGTTCAATAACCTTACCAAACATGCCACGCTAGTATAATACCTGGATGAGCAGGGCTTGGTTCTCTTTCTTCATGGATTCGAACTGGGAAACCAATTTGTCATAATCGGCTTTAAGCACGTTATAATCCCGTTCAAGCTCCTTCGGCTTTGATCGAGCCCTTCTATTCTGGAACCATATCGCAACCTGCCGTGGCTGTAGCCCGAGCTTTTTAGCCAAGTGCTGCTTCATGCGTAGCTCTGGCCTCGACTCCACCTCGAAAGTGGTCTCCAGTGACTTAATCTGCTCATCACTAAATCTCTGTCTGCTGCTGTTTTTGCTCGCCTTGTTAATATTAGACATGAATTAAAAGCTCTTTCCCAAATTCTTTTAAGATGTTTGTTTTTGCTGCTTTAGTCGGTTGATTGCAGCTTTAAAGAAATGTATGGTACAGCAATTGAGGACGTGTGTGTTTCAAAATACCCGTGGGCCTTTGAGATGGCACTGATGTCCAAGATTCCGGGCTGGTTGATAAAAATGTTTTTCATGCTTTATCATGTCACTCGCCACATCATACGGTACAACACCTTTTTCTCAAGGTATTTTCGGGACGTTCGAGATTATACGAATTACTTTACTGAATCACCTCTCGAAACAAGGTAATCTCTGGATTTACTTCTAGAGTGTAACTTATCTACGTTCATTGTGTATGAATATGGTAAGTGAATTACATGTAATGCTCGGATCGAGTACCATGTAGACTTCGAGCATTTTTTAAATCTTCCATGTACATTAGTACTAATTTAAAAATCAATCATTTAAAAAGCGAGTACAATCTAATATTTCATCATATGAGGTGAGAATAATTTGCATTGATGACAGGGACAGAAATTAAATAATTGATAAGGTTGTGTGAACATTGAGAAGAAAATATCATTTGGTCACACAGATTGACGCGTTGTAATAAGTCATTTGTTAAACAATTTCTATCCAAAGACAATGCCAAGCTTTGCTGTCCGGTTCCATCCAATGTTGTCGAGACGCATATCTTGGGGGGGACACGTAAACCTATCTAACTGTACTTGAGCTTTTGTCCCTCTACTGTGTCAATTAAATTTTTGATAAAAATTTAAGTCAAAATTAATAATTAATTTTAATTACATATATTATGGGGCATGTAATATCGATTTTTATTAAAATCTATTAAAAATTAATTCTACATGGACTTTGCAAAAATGAGCTGGGAACGTGGCAGTTTACTTTTGGGGGGGGGGGGGGGGTTTTTTGGGGGGGGGTTGGTTGTTTTTTGTTTGGGGGGGGGGGGGGGGATTTATTTGCATTTTAGTCCCTCAATTCAACTTGAATAAGTGAAAAGGTTTCATATTCATCAATTTGGGGTAAGGTTCTAGAAGCAGCAACGGAGAGCTTCCCTTTCACCTTTCGCTTGGCTATTTTAGTTTTTAAAACGTTTGTTCTCAAGTGAGCCATTGCGCCTCTTTCGTTTACATTTACAATTTATTTTTTAAATCAAACTATTTTTTGCAGTTTGATTTGATCTTAAATCACGATTTTAGCAAAAAAATAAAATAAAAAAATTAAACAAATGAAAATAAATATATTTGTATAAAGTTTTAATAACACTTCAATTGAAAGTTTTTAAATATAAATGTTACCATGTAAATATATTTGTATCAATACAAGCTTAAATCAATAAAATTACACAAGGTTCAACTATAAAATTTAAGCTTCCATAATTCATTTTTTCATAAATATTCTAATAAATCATGATTTCATAATGAGCATATAGAAATAGACTTCAATTGAAAGTTTTTAAATATAAATGTTACCATGTAAATATATTTGTATCAATACAAGCTTAAATCAATAAAATTACACAAGGTTCAGCTATAAAATTTAAGCTTCCATAATTCATTTTTTCATAAATATTCTAATAAATCATGATTTCATAATGAGCATATAGAAATAGACTAACAATGAAATTTGTTGAAATATAATATGAACTAATAAATCATATATCTAAGATAAAATAAGTAAAATTTTATTAAATTGAATGAATGGTTCGATTTTGGTTTCAAGTGATTTTTAACTATTGAAACTTAAATTGAACTATTTTCTAAACGATTTGGTTAGGATTTGAATCGAAATATTGTCAGATTCAACAATTTTAAAATCGTGATTCAATTAAATTTGACAGATTAGCCGTATTTTTGTTTACTCTCACGTGGCGACGATTGGTGGTTTCGGGGGACAGGTGTGATGTCTTCGGGATGGGTGGAGAAGATTATTACATTTTTCTTTGTTCTTTGTATATTTTAACTAATAATATTAAAATGACAATTCTGTCGTTATAAATTTTAAAATTTGCTGATCAAGTGGGTTTCCAAAGGTTAAAGACCCAGTGGCCCAGGAGAAAAAGCTGGAGACTAAAGTGCCAATGACATCAAAGGTTGGGGGACTTTGTCGTATTTTACCCATATGAATGGAAAGCTTACAAGAGGACCTTGACTCCCTGTTTTTAGTTCTTATTGATTAGATCGAACAATAGTCAAAGTCTTTAGGACTTTTAGGTCAAAAATGCACTTTAGTCTTTTCATAATTCTTAATTAATCATTTTACATTTCTGAAAGTCACTTTTCTCTTTCAGGAGGAAGTTAGGTGGCGGAGTGGGTAATTTTGAAGTTAGCAGTTTCTTTCATCTGTATGACCCGATCTCACAAGTTTTAACTGCTCATATCTTGTGGCATGTGAGCTCATTATTGTATAACTAAAACCACTTAATGGCTTATTTTGTTTGTTGATGTTGTCTGTTTTGTCACATCAACTCAACATGCTATCTCTAAACAAGATAAATGTACAATTCGATGATCATGAAATCTAAAAGATCAGGCTATAGCTCTCTTCCAATTACTTATAAACAATACACGTTCTATTATTTAGGCTGTATGGGGTTTCCTTGGTGGCCAGAACATGGTTGTTTGCTCACCAAGAAATTTGACTGCTTTTCAGTTTTACTCGAAAAAGTTGAGTGAAACCTGAATTTCATGAGTTTGTTTTATCCTAATATCATGTTTGAAAAATATTGCATTGCACGAAATTTCACAATATCATTTACAAGATCTTAACTTTTTTTCTTATTTAATATTATTTTCTTTCATGTTCCAAACATGCACTAAAGAAATAAAGATTATAAAATCAACTTCTTTCTAATTGGACTTCCTTGAAAAACATAAGGAATTGGAAATACATTAACGTTTGGCTGAAATGATCCTTAACATTTTCCATCGGGACAAAATTAGTCCCTAACATTTCTTTATTTGCGCTAAACGTCCCTAAACTATGTGTTTTGGTGTGCAATTCGTCATTTTTATGAAGAAGAAGATCAATATTCCCTTAATCTTTATTAAAAACTTGCAATGAATTTCTAACATTTGAAAAAAATAAAATACAAATGGGTCCTGAACTTATATATTTAATAATATTTTAATTTACATCACTAAATATATCATTCCAGCCACGGCAATTAAATTTTCCAGAAGAAAGAAAATGTTAAATTATCTTTCTAATGTATGTTATCGCTTTGTGATGTGAAAAAAATTATTAAAATTTAAGATACATAAATAATATAATCACATATTAATAAATCAATGAATTTCATTTAACATAAAAATTATTTTAAGATTATATGTTCTTTATTTTCTTTATTGAATTATAATAAAATGGTATATTAAAATATGAAGAATAGAGTTGAAGCTCTAATATTAGTATTTAATAAACGAATAGCTCTGAGGATCAAGTTTGTAACACAAAGTTGTTTTTCTTCACTTTGTTATAACCATAAAATAAAAGTTTAATTTAAATAATGTAATTACTTAATAATAAAATATAATATTTAACTTGTTAATCAATAAATTATGGGCTCAAATTTAAATTATTTCATAGGAGTTCGTAAAATATACAAAACAATTTACATATATTTATTAAGTTGGTCAAGAAAGTCTTCATTGAAAACGTTATGCCATTGCCTGAGGCATCACCTCGTTTGAGGCGTGATGCCCCTCGAGGTGACAGTGACGGTGACGCATTCACACCCTCGTCCGAGGCGGGTGACGCTGTCCACGGTGCCTATATGTTCCGAGGCGTATCTTCCAAAGGTGATGTGGTCAAGGCGTTTCGCTGCGGAGACGAGGAGAAACATCTCTCCGTCGTTAGTTCCTCAAACAAATTTTTTAGACAAGATTGTTTCTGTAATTTTAGGAATGATTGATGTGATGTCTCTGTCATTTGCCAATCCAAGATCAGAGGGATTGATTGCTCCGCCTACATAGGAAGTGACCCTTTGCCTATGAATATCAAGAACTCAGCTGAGAAAGGTAAGCGATTATGTCCATGCTATTTCACAACTAAGGAATATTATCTCCTTCTCCCCCTCAAATTTGTGCATTTCGACACCGTCACCACCACCGTCGACTGACTTGATCGTCGGAGTGTATGTGACCATCATCACCACCTTCGGTACCGGCCATATACGCCTAACCGTTTGTTGTTACACGCAGAGAGGAATACGTGGAGTATTTTTCCTTTGGCCACATAGAAAGTCTAATTCGCGAGGTCAATAAAAAACAAAAAATAACTCGTTCTTACAGCCCATTTTCACTTTTTGTAAAGGATAGGGATCCAACTACAAGTTTCCGCAATTAAAATTAGCGGCATACTTTTTTCAAAGGAAGGACCAATTGCGCAGAAAAATACATTGATGAGGATGTCTGCACAAATAAACAAGAATTGAGGACCATTTACGTCAAATTCCAATATATTAACTAGTCGACTCTAGTCTCCACCTCGTGCTTAGCCCAAACAAAATCAAGGGCAATTTACAAAAATAACCTTCAAATTATAGATCTTTTGAAAAATCATATGAAAAGTTTTTTGGAAGTAAAAAATATTGTCTAAAATTTAAAAGTGAAACAATGCCACTTTTAAAAGTTTAGTGTCACTTTTATATTAAAAAATGACATACAATTTCACTTTTATTAAAAATTTATGTTTGTCATAAAAAAAAAAAAAGTGATAGAAATTTCAAGAAGGCAACTGAAAAAAGTGAAACATTAGAAAAAGTGACAAAATTCAAAGAAGTGACAGAAATTTAAAAAAAGAGATGAATTTAAAAAAGTGGCATAAATTAAAAAAAGTTACACAGATTCAAAAAAAGTGACACTATTTTATATTTTTCTTGAGCAAACACCCTGCATGAATCAATCTAAATGATTCTAGATTGATTCAAAGTTTTCATTTTCATATGTTTTAATATAAAACAAGGCTTGAATTCGTATCTTTAAATTTAAAGAGATGAATTTAAAAAAGTGGCATAAATTAAAAAAAGTTACACAAATTCAAAAAAAGTGACACTATTTTATATTTTTCTTGAGCAAACACCCTGCATGAATCAATCTAAATGATTCTAGATTGATTCAAAGTTTTCATTTTCATATGTTTTAATATAAAACAAGG